AACAACAAACAACAAACATCAAACAACAAACAACCACAAACAACAACAAACAAACAACAGCAAACAAACAACAATCAACAAACAAAAAACAGCAAACATCAAACAACAAACAACAAACAACAACAACAAACAACAACAAACCAACAACAAACAAACAACAACAAACCAACAACAAACAACAACAAACCAGCAACAACCAACAACAAACAACAACAACAAACAACAACAACAAACAACAAACAAAAACAACGAACAACAACTGAACAACGACAACGACAACAACAACGACAACCACAGCGACAGCGACAACACAACGACAACGGCAATGGCAACGACACCAACACCAACAACGAACAAACAAACAAACAACAAACAACAAACAACCAAAAAACAACAAACAACAACCAACAGAACACAAGAGCAACAAAAACAACAAAAAACAGAAAACAACAACAGCAGACCACAAAAAGCAACAAAACCGCAAAACCACAAACACAGCAACAAAAACAACCACAAAAACAACCAAAACAACCACAACAACAACCACAACAACAACCACAACAACTACCACAACAACAACCACAACAACAACCGCAACAACAACCACAACACACCAACGCCAACACCAACACCAACACCGACACCGACGCCGACGCCGACACCGACACCGAAATGAACACCACCAACACCACCACCACCACCAACAGCAACACCAACACCAAAACCAACACCAGCACCAACACCAACACCGACACCAACACCAACACCAACACCAACAACAACAACCACAAGAACCGCAACAACCACTAACAACAACCACAACCACAACCACTTCCACAACAACAACAAGAACAACACAACAACAAGAACAAGAACAACAACACCAACAATAGCAACAGCAACAGCACCAGCACCAGCAACAGCAACAGCAGCAACAGCAACAGGGTCAACAACAACAACAACAACAACAACAAGAACAACAAAAACAACAACAACAAACACAACAACAAAAAAACAACAACAAGCAACAAACAATCAACAACAAACGGACAACAACAAACATAAAGCAAACAACAACAAACAATAACAAAGAACAACAAAGAACAACAAACAACAACAAACAACAACAAAAAACGACAAACAACGACAAACAACAACAACTAACAACAAACAACAACCACAACAACAACCAACAACAACCACAACCGCAACCGCAACCACAAGCACAGCCACAACAACAACAAGGACAAGAAAAACACAACAACAAGAACAACAACAGCAACAGCAGCAACAGCAACAACAACAAAAAAGTAAAAACAATAATAAACAAAAAACAACAACAAACAAAAAACAACAAAAAACAACAAACAACAAACAACCAACAACAAACAACAACAACAAACAATAACCAACAACAACCAACAACAACCAACAACAACCAACAACAACCAACAACAACCACGATAACAAAAACAACAACAACAACAACACCGACACCGACACCGACAAGAACAAGAACAAGAACAAGAACAAGAACAACAAGAACAACAAGAACAACAACGACAACCAACAACAACAACACCAACAACAAGCAACAACAACAAGCAACAACAACAACCAACAACAACAACCAACAACAACAACAACGAACAACAACAACAACCAACAACAACAACCAACAACAACAACAACCAACCACAACAACCAACAACAACAACCAACAACCACAACAACAACAACCAACAACAACAACCAACAAAAACCAACAACCACAACCACAACAACAACAGCAACAGCAACAGCAACCACAGCAACAGCAACAGCAACAGCAACAGCAACAGCAACAACAACAACAACAGCAACAGCAACACCAACAAGAACAAGAACAAGAACAAGAACAAGAACAAGACCAAGACCAAGACCAAGAAAAAGAACAACAACAACCAACAACAACAACACCAACAACAACCAACAACAACAACATCAACAACAACCAACAACAACCAACAACAACAACCAACAACCACAACAACAACAACCAACAACAACAACCAACAACAACAACCAACAACCACAACAACAACAACAACAACAGCAACAGCAACAACAGCAACAGCAACAGCAACAACAACAACAGCAACAGCAACAACATCAGCAACAGCAACAGCAACAGCACCAGCACCAGCACCAGCACCAGCAACAGCAACAGCAACAGCAACAACAACAACAATTCACAACAATCAACAACCACCTACAACAACCTCTAACAACCTATAACAACAACAGCAGCAGCAACAACAACAACAACAACAACAACAACAAACAGCAACACACAACAACACACAAACACGCACACAAACAAACACACAAACAAACAAACAAACAAACAAACAATAAACAAACCAACAACAACACCAACAACACAGCACCAACAGCAACAACAGCAACAACAGAAACAACAGCAACAACAGCAACAGCAACCGCAGCAACAACAGCATATCAACACCAACACCGACAACAACATCAACATCAGCATCAACATCAACAACCACAACAGCAGCAGCAGCCGCAGCAGCAGCAGCAGCAGCACCACCAACAACAACAACAACGACAACGGCAACAACGACAGCAACGACAACAGCGACAACAACAACGCCAGCAACGACGCCAGCAACGACGACAACAACGACGACGACAACAACAACGACAATGTCACGGGTGTGCAACGACCCGTGTGTTTTTCATTTTCAATGACAACAAAGCAACGACGACAACAACAACCGCATCAACAACAAACAGCACAAACAGGAACGAACAGTATCATGCCCAGACTCCGGTTGCAGTCGCCTTCGTCGCACGTGAGCGGGACCTGT